TTCTGCATCATGTTATCTTTTTCGGACAATCCGGGAAAATGCAATTCGATCTCCACAAGGAGCAATTAGATTTCACTGCATCGTATCATGTTTTACACTATTTAACCGTGCCTCCGGTATGAAATAAAGAGAGCAATTGTTCTGTGGTTGAACATTCAATGTCACAGGAATTTTTCCATCATCGGGTAAATATGTAACCATTTCTCATATTTGCTTAGCTATCGAAGTTTATCAAATTATTTCTTATTCTGTTTAATATTCAATTTTCATTTATAAACAACACCAACATTAACAATGAGGACCATACTGTCAAGTTTAAGCTGATGTGCACATGTGTACCATACAAACTCATGTAATGTAAACAGTGTTGGAAGGCCTTTGTATAGAAATAAATACAAATCTATAATTTTTTCCTTTGGGATATTACTGTGCGAATGAGGGTAAGTATGTTAATTTGGAGATTATAATGTACAATAATTTGGTCAACATGTGAATCAATGTCAGTATATTGGTGTTGTTTTAAAATAATAATAGATATGCTGCTATCTGGTTGTAATATCCTACATTGTCGTAAACATATCTTTATGACTACCGTTTCGGATCCATAGACGTTTTTTCTTATATCATGGTTCTTGGGCAAGATGTCAACACCTGACGGGCTAACACAAGTTTTCGAGGGATACAGCTTTAGAGATTACGGGAAAGTTTCACGGTCGTCAGAATTATTTGGGAAATATTCGATTTCTTTTTCTGTGATATCAATGTGGACGTGTTTAATCTACGTTACTGTTAACCTCTTTCTCTTTGGAGAACGTGATATTGCTTACCTATATAAAATAAGAACCATAAGAAGTATATCCTTCAAGCATCTGGTCTTACTCACCTTGTGCTGGGTATCTATGGATTTGTTTTACTCATAAGTTTGTACTCGTTTTTATCTCCATAAAATTTGGTTTAACAATAGATTGTGTTGACATTTAACATTTTCGTCTAGCATCAGGATATTAGAATTATTTCATAATATTGAAAATGTGTTCTTTTCTTTTTAAGTAGGATTGCTAGAAACCCAATGGTTTCAGGGGCAATTGTAACATTAAGGGTTGTATGAGATTATGATTTAGAAATATTAAGGTTAAATGCTGTTGAAGGACAAATCGATTGGGACAAACATTATTTTTGCCATGATACATGAATAATTCCATCCACAGGCAGGTGTTGTCTTTTCAATGAACACCGGTGATTCTTCCTTTGGGAGTAAATATTCTAATGGTAGTCTATAGAAATGTTATGCCTACACTAATAGCCATACAAATTGTGCTCATTTGACTTTTCGATATAATAACAGTCTAGAATTGGTACGCATACAGGAAACATTATATAATATACATGTATATGACATGTGGCTATTTAGCTGCTTCGTTGTTACAGGTAATAACTGGACATATCTAACACATTATTGCCCGATTCAGTGTTGATTGATTGATTCTTCAGTAGTGCTCTCGCTTTTCTTCGTAATTGTCCTCATTTCATCCATTTGTTGTTTGTTTTGTTATGAAAAAAAAACTTCGATTTAAAATCTGACATGTTGTCAAATTTATCCAGGAGAAAGTTTTTCGGAAACATTCTTGCCAGTTGGAAAAAAAAGATTAAAATTTACCACAATTTCATTTCAACATTAATCTCACATGAAACATTAATTTATGTTGAATCCGTTTTTATTCACTTTCCCGTTACTCAGATAATAAGTTTTAACATTTGCAGAATCACCCCAGACACCGAATTCCGTACCAATTTCATGATAGATAGTAAATGCAGCAATAATGCGGGATATGCTTAAATATCTTCCATTATACCATATCTGAATATATAAGATATAAACTCTCGACAGACAAAGATGTCTACCACGTGTTGAGTCAGATGTCGAAAGCAATATTGAAGTTTTCATTCAGGCCAAGTGAACAAGAACAAATCTCTCATACGAAACAAAATAAAGCTGTCATGAAAAGAATTAACAAAAATATTTACATTCTAAAGTGACCGCTAAAAAGGAAAATTCAGCATTCTAGCAGACATCATGAGTGAAAGTGATTGTTATTGACATGAAATTAGAAAGCATACAATGGTGTTCATCATTGAATTTTCGGCACCACAAGATTTTATGAGGGCCAAGCAATAATCGCTGAAACATGACAGGAAAGGTACTAATCCCATCAGCCACAATCAATAACAGACAATCCCAAGGAAGCTCTTTACCAATGAAAACTATCTTCTCGCTGTAATTCTACAGCGCAGAACTTTGTGGTCTCAAAGGCAAAAACCAATGCCACCTGGTAAATTAGTGCGACAGAGAATACTACATTTCGCTGGGTACGGATATTTCAGGAGAGACAAATACCGGGGTCACTGAGTGTTATTGGGTATAACGCACGCACCTTATCCATATAAAACATGAAAATCAACAAAGGAAAGATTTACATGGGAATTCTCTTAATAAAAATGAAATATCCTAATATCAGCATGCCCCACTCGAAACCCTGTGTTGTTAGTTGCATTATCTGATCACGACATCTTTGGCAGAGAATATGATACTTCGGACATTGTTAAATGCTTTTCATGTTCTTTTAACAACCAATGTCATTAAAGGATGTGTCAGGTTTTGATGGTAGAAGAAAGCCGGAGTTCCCGGAGAAAAAACACTTACATGTTGCCAAAACATAGTAACTGGCAGTACTTGACAACTGTCCAACGTAGGACTCGAACCCTTAACCTAGATGTAGAGTCCTGGTTATCTAGACAATCAAAACCAATGGAGCACCGTTCTCGGGACCTGTAATTACACTAATCTAGAAATTAATACCACACTTATTATACAATACAGTATAATAGCAATCTGCACCGGTTGGTTGCGTTGTAGATGAAAACTTAGTAAAGCGGCTGATGCAGCCGCCCCCAAATTAAATTTCGTAATTTTCATATATCAGATAAGTTTCGCCTCTGCGCTGTCACCTACATTATGAATCTTTGAGATAGCAGGTCTAAGACACTACTGGTGGCCTTTTAGTCCCGAGAATATACATGACGTTGTTCTAAAATTATCTGACACATAAAAATTATGAAATTTATTAAATAATGGCTGCTGCACCTTCCGTCTAGATTTCCACTTTTCTTTCGATTTCACTTTGGATTGTCCTCATTCACCTCTTAGGCTTCAAAGCCTTTAGCATCACTGTCGAGTCATAGAAGACGAAACAACTGTATTGGGTAGTTTAATTCCTTGTTTTTCTTTACAGTAACTAACTCTTAATTGATATCAAAAGGTGATATTCAAACTTAAATTCATTAAAACTGGGGCAAAATTGGCAGGTTGAGTACTTCCTTCTGATGAAATGGTTGCTAAGAATGTCAAGGTTGGTTGGAAAATTCACGATTTTTGTACATATTATTCAAAATGATGAGTACCAAACATTCATGAGTTAGTAAATACATATAATAGATAAATATCTTTGCCACATTTCTATATTATAACGATTTTCGTGCAGGAAGTCAACAACTGACAAATAAACTCGTAACACAAGGGTTCAAAAGATGCAGGTTGATGCGGAAGCTTTATGGTCGCCATAGTAATCTCGTTGAGAAATATTATCTTTGAACGATATGAAAATGGACGTTAGTTTGCTTGTTGGCTACGTTGTTGTATACCATGTTCTCATTTGAGAACGTTGCATGACGTACTGTGATTTGGCCACGATTTACATTCAGTGTGTCGTCGATGAAGCAGAAGACGCTTACTCTTCTGGAGCACAAAGTTTTATTTTCCTTGTACTTTTCAGGAGTCTTAGTGTAATTCTATCTTTTGAACATAGTTTTCTTAAATTTAAGATTGGATTATGGTCATGTTGACACGTTGGTTTTTCCGCCGTTGATTTTTAATCAGAAATGCTTCATGCCTGTCTCCTTACTCGATTCCAAATTAGATTTCGTTTAAAACCAATGCTCAATCATTGTTTTTTTTTTATTTTCAGGTAGAACAGCGTTGTTTTGGGCCTGAAAACAAATGCAGTGGAAATCGAAATCAAATTTAAGCAACATGCAGCGAATCTTCAAGTGGTCCATATCCTGGAATCTAAAAGCATTTTAGTATTTCAGCAAAACGAAAATCAACACCTTTCTGGTAAATACATTTTAGGTCACACATTACGCTCGGAAGGATGCTAAAGGATACGTGAGGAGCTAACGATATCGGCTCTGGATCTGCATTAACTGAAGAAAAAAAACAAGTTTGGCCAACACTGAGTCTTACAAAAACGACCTTAATCCTGGAATGATCCATTAGAATTGTTATCTTATGTTTTCTCCATAACAGTGTAGTTTACAATGAGCATTATCTCGTTGTGGCTGAGTAGCACTTCATCGCTATCTTATAACATAGAGGAATGATCATCTTTCGGAAGAAATCCTTGGCACAACATTGTAAACCAGGGTTTGTCAATGGCTCGCTAGAGTTTAGTCCCTTTCATGTGTATTACTATCAGGAAATACCAGCAGCAACGTAATAATACTTACAAGCTAAACAACTAAATCCTCTTACAGTCCTTTATCGGCCTTTTATTCCGTATCAACTTCCAGACGTTCATCAACTCTGCTGGGGAGATAGTGCCAGACTGAAATCTAATAGATTGTAACTTCTTATTACAACAACAGCCAACGGTTTGATCTGATTTGTATATATCTGGCTCTGTTTTTAATATACCCGATTAATTAACAGATATATCGCCGCAGTGTTTGGCACAGCGTTTTCTTGAATTATTGACTGCAATATTAACTGTAGAAGAATTGTTCAACAGACGAATATAGGTGGCGCCTCCAGTTCAACACGGATAATGAAATCACCCTGATTTAACAGATAAAGTGACCTACTGTATCAAATTTGCTCCAGTTTCTGGTTTCTGGCTGTATCTAGTTTTGTTTTACGTGTTGCTGAGTAAATAGACGTACTAACAATGCCGCTTGTTTCAGAAATAACACATGACGTGGCATTAAACATGTCAGCGACAAATGCGTCTGATTCTTCAGGACCTAAAGGTTATGATCTACCTCACCTCATCGTCACCGTCATTATCGTCTCAATCATTATCATCCTCATCATCTTCGGGAACCTCCTAGTCGTTGTTGCAGTATTTACAGACCGTAACCTTAAAACTATACAGAACTGGTTCATAGCCTCTCTCGCCCTAGCGGATTCACTATTAGGTCTCGTCATCATGCCCTTTTCACTGGCTAACGAGGTGATGGGATACTGGTATTTTGGTCCGGTTTGGTGTGACTTGTGGAAAACAATTGACGTATTTCTGTGTACAGCTTCAATACTAAACATTTGTCTCATCAGTATTGACCGATATTTCTGCATCACACGAGCCCTAACTTATACACACTTTAGAACGCCGGGACGAGCTGTCCTCATGATGGCTTCAGTCTGGGTATTATCAACTGTAATCTGTGTTCCTCCTCTGATTGGCTGGAAAAATCCTCTTAAAGTTACGGAGTATCCATTATGTCTGCTTAGTTCGGAAACAGGATATATCATATATTCTGCAATGGGATCTTTTTATATCCCAGCGGTCATCATGGTTATGGTTTACTTCCAAATCTATCGAAAGGCGAAATTGAGGGCAAGGCGGGGCAACAGGAAAGACATCAAGAAGAAAGAACAGAAAAAGAAAGCGGCTAAAAACGATAAGGCGGCTGATAAGCAAGAGTTGAAACCGATGATGGGCCCTATTGAGACGGTCAAACCGGATGTAAGTACGCGAAAAATCATGGACTGTGCTACAGCTCATTCGGATGACGAGAGTACATGGCCAATGTATGATAAACCCATTCCTACGGCCGAAGTGGTCGAAAAGGATGTCCCAAACAATGGGGACGGGTCGAATCCGGATGAGATGACCAAATTAATTCCCGCTAATTCATTAGAAAATAAAGACGATAAAATCGATAGTGATTTTAGGAGCAACAATGGTGAAGAAGTGGCTTTGAACGGGACCATCAGTAAGCAGGGAAACGAGAAAATGGTGTCCGTTACGAGAACCGACAACGGAGAAACCAAAACAGAGGTTTGTAAACAACCTACTCCGGCAAACAAAACTAAAAAAGATAACAGTTCCACGAAGAAAGACACGCCAAAAGAAAATGACGTAATGAGTGAATTAGAAAAGCAGAAAAAGAAGTTAGCAAAAGCGCGAGAAAGGCGCGCGACGATTGTTTTAGGACTTGTAATGGCGGCATTCGTTTTGTGTTGGTTTCCGTTCTTCACTTTGTACATTATCTCTTCTCTGTGTGGCTACTGTATCCCTGTTGTAGTGTTTAACGTTTTCTTCTGGGCTGGATATTGTAACTCAGCCCTCAACCCAATCATATACACAGTGTTCAACAGGGAGTTCCGCAACGCCTTTCACAAGATTGTCTTTAAGAACGAGTTGTGCAGACGCAGGTGAGCCTGCCATTATTTTGTAGTTATAGCTAAAAGTATATTCATCTAATTACACAGTAACTGTAGTGATGAAAATGGCGAGAAGTGTCTTTATGTCAGGAATGTTGGTAAGGAAACTGTGACAGCTAACGATTAACTGTAGACAACGATCGGCATGAACATCTGTCACTTTTGTATTTTTCGTGCAATTGTTTCGCTCACAACACATATCGTAATGAAATGTATATTGTATTAATCCTAGCCTGTAACACAAGCATTTGTATTCGTTTTACTGCGCGTAGTGCAAGGCCAAATAGAAACCCATCTGTCTGTTGAAATTGATCATGAGTTTGTATACGAAGCATACCTTGAATATTAATGATAGACAAGAGATATGGTTATTTTTGTACATTTTGTTTATTTATGCGATGGTTCCAGATTTTGTTATTTTATATACTTAATAACTACAAACCGCTCTTACATAGAAGCGTGTGCCTACAGGGTTGTCATTGTATTACTACGATAACATCTTGAAACAACTTCGTTTATAACTGGATGTTATGGAACTTTAACTAGCATGAAAAGGGAAGTGCTCGGCGATTTAGTTTTAATAACAAATGCCGATAAAAATTGACCGAATGTTTACAGGTGATGCTATTGATCAGAAGGGACTGAAAAAAACCTGACAACGTTCCTGTTTTTGGTTAGCCATGGTTGTATACTTTTTTATGGTTTACCTCGCATTTCCTATTTAACACCATTAATAATTTGTGAAGAGAACTTCAGGGCTATAAATCACTACCACCAAACCACCCAGTGTTTACTCTTGACAGTCACCGTTGAATTAATTATTGCTATGCTAATGTTTTGAAAATGTTTCCTCACATGAAATACATGTTTTTGCAGGTTATTTATTTCTCTGGAACACATGCATTCGTACTTCAGTATTTTAATAAACGAGCTTTTCTGATGCAGTCTTGTTTTATTCTTTACGTACTGCATCTCAAATAAGTCACTGTATAAATTAAGTATTTGCACTTTTAACGGCTTTCAATGAAATTTGTTTTCATAAAAGTTTCAGCTATATTTTAAAGATTTCCTTTTTCTTACGAGTAATTAATTATCCCTGATGGCTGATAAAATTAGCTAGATAGAGTGTTATGATTTATGGTTGGTTGTGACAAAGTCACGGTAGTTGGCCTTTTCTTTAATTGGAGGATCTGATTATAAAATATCATTCTATATATTTGTTTATCGATCCTTCCATTAATTGGTGATTACTGACGCTTCAGGAGGTCTGAGGTCCCCTACTCTGTGCCCCATCCCCAGGACTTGACATCGGGGCGATTGTGTCCCCGGATGTCCGAGCAGAATGCTCGCTACTAAAATTGTGCACATTAATAAGTTTGCAACAAAATTCAACATCATAAACACGATATTTCACAGGATATGAGAACAGAATGGAGACTCGGGCTAAAACCTAGAGCGCTGTAAGGGATGCAGCAGTAATACTTACAAACTCACATATTTAGTTTTTTCAAAGCCAACACATTGTAATACTTATACAACTCCAGGCACGATAATCTCTGCCCGAAACTTTGGCACTGTAGAGATACAGCTGGGTTGTTGTAAAAATCATTGATGTTTTTTCTTATGCTTGTCATTTAATACCCCCGCCCCCTCCTCAACAGATAACCTCCTTTCAAATCTAATTTATCAACCAATTTTAATTGTAAAGTATTTTAACCTTCCAAATACTAACCTCACAATCATAACCCATAAATATTTTAATGTCGGAATTTGAATAGTTGCTTGATGCCATGAACGGTGTGGATTTACATAAAGTGTGGATATTGTTGATGTAAGGAGTATACAGTTGGCAGACAGACACTGAAAGGAGATTTACATCCCTATGCAGTTCTTCAAAAATGCAAGCGGGATAACAACGGTCCAGAGGTTAGGGTTAGGTTAGCATTAATGACTATTGATCACGAAATTTAAAATGATTTTTTAAAAATATTATCATCATATCGAAATTCATAATTCATATAGATTAGAATATCCACCCTCTTTCTCTTCATTCACAACTGGTCCTCTAGGACGTAAAATTCGTCAAATACAAAAATAGTTAATTTTGATTATCAGTTACAACTGATCATTTGTTATTGGTTGTCGACGTAGTTATAAGAGTATATCACGTTCATTGATTGGCTGCCTGTGTCATGTTTGATGCTTAACTGTCATTATGGTATTACATTGCCTGCTTATGTGCCACAATTACCCATAGGTCATCGGTCCTACACCTGCTGATAGGATGTGGATGTGATCACAACAAGACTACTGTTTAGGGGGCGACAATGGACGTACATATTGAATGAATTTAAAGCTTAATCGTAGTACTGGTCATAACGAGTATGTGGCAAAATGATATATCACCAATTTTCAAAAGTCATGATATTTTATCAAATATTTCAAGTCTTATCCAATTAAGATATAGCAAAACAAATTATAACACAGACTTTATTTCTAAAATCACTTGCGACTTGGTAGATTGTCCAAGTTTGGTTGTTTGTGGCGTACGCAAATTCTTCCGAAGTATAAAAGGAATTGGACATTGATTGAATCTTTGGAGATAGAGGAAGGGAGGTTGGAAACTGTAATAAAACCTGATTCATTGACAAGGATTCTTAACAAACAAACTACACACAATCTTTACATACTTGCCATAGATTTGGATCGCCTATTGGGATGGTGTCTGTTTCACAGCATCAAACTTCAAGTGCATAACATATATTCATATCTAAGTGTTGTAATGTTTCCTCCGTTGAAAAAGACACTTCACCCCAATTGCTTAACATATTATGCGACTGGCTTCTATATGTTTATCAGTGAAGTCAACAGAAAAAAAGTTTACGATATGATCAATGGTGACACCGGAACTAAAGAGAAAACTGAAACCTAAATAAAATGAAAATTGCCTGCATCTTTTATGGCATTAGCAAAAACTATGATGTCAGTTGTAAACGATATAAGGCACAGTAGACATGTATTCAAATATGGTGAGGTTTATAAATAACATAACCGATTCAAGTTATATTACAATGCAATACCTGTCAAATGTCTTCGTTGATCTGTGATGTAGTTAACCCTAGGGGCTGGCTCGAACACAGTACGATCCATATATAGGTATACCAAGTATCAACGCAATTCTCAAACGCGGACACCATCTGCTTTAACCAAGTTTTTTTTCTACTTTATAGACCATACATCTGACTTTATCCTACACCGTCCTGAAATGCTACATATACATCAAACGGGTATTCGAACGGCAGATTTGGCCAAAGTTATCACACAACGAATTACACAACCGACGTCGATTCTGCCAAGTTGACATGTCCTCTGCTCATAACCTAACCCCGGCAGCTTTAAAACGGCCCGAATATAGCAGACAGATATTAGCTGTGTATAAAACATCAATAAAATCAAAATACCAAAGCTGGACAACTTCTATACAATTCACGGAGGTAATATCATGATCCTGTTTAACGAATCTTCAAACCTTTGAAGCAGAAACCGCAATAGTTAAACATTTTAAAATGATATTCCAAAACAAACTCTGTCTATTTGTCATGAGTTAACGTCTACCAAACTTTTCGAAAATTACGGTTGAAAGGTTATTGCTGAATACATGTAGGTTGCACGTGCTTAGTTACTCTGGTAGAAGATACTGCCGATGTGGCAAATCAGTGAAAATAATCCACTTTGTCAGGTACTGAAATAAATGTGATAGATGTACATGTGATATGTACTTGCTGGTGTCTAGATACTGTAACAAGGAAGCCGACGATCGTGAACTGGAAGGCTTTATTACAGAATAAGGTCGTTAGGTTAAAATTAATGCCGATTTGTTGGTTAATGTTGCGATATAAATCTTAATTGTTCCAATCAATAATACCAAACCTCCGTGTAACGTATAAAACGGAAACTGTTCATCATACCGTGGTATGGTGATTATGCCTGCCTGTCATCACCTGGGTCAGGTGACACCCAGACGATTACAACACTGTACATGTAACTACTGTCATTTTATATAGACCGGTATTGCGTAGGCGTAACATCGTTTAATTAAGGATCAATGTTTTTTTAGTGTCCGTTCGCTGTGCTGTGATGTAAAGCCTCACACATGCAATTTATGTAATCATAACTGAGACAGGATGAAGCCGACTATGAACAAAGTTGACACCGCAGAGAACAAATACAGAAAGGATGAATGCAGTATAATGTCACAGTCAAAACTTGGTGCATTATAAAGCCACACATAACATGGCCGACACATAACATGGCCGACACAAAACTCAGTTGACACATAACATGGCCGACACATAACACAGTTGATACATAACACAGTTGACACATAACATGGCCGACACATAACACAGTCGACACAAAACTCAGCTGACACATAACATGACCGACACATAATAGAGTTGACACATAGCATGACCGACACATAACACAGTCGACACAAAACTCAGTTGACACATAACATGGCCGACACATAACACAGTTGACACATAACACAGTTGACACATTACACAGCCGACACTGACATCAGCTGACACATCACAGCACACATAACATGACCAACATATAACACAGCAGACGCATAACACAGTCGACAAATAACATGGCAGACACACAACACAGTCGACAAATAACATGGCAGACACATAACACAGTACACTAACCCAGCCGACACATAACACAACCGACACCTACCTCAGCTGACACATGGCACAGCCGACGCAGACCTCAACTGACATGATATAGCGACACTGACCTGAGGTGAGACATGACATAGCCGAAACAGACCTCAGCTGACACATTATAGAGCTAACTGATGAAACAGCCGACAGTGATTCCAGATGAACGTTATACAGCCAAAACATAACTTGGCCGACACTGACCTCAACTGAAACCTGAAATAAACGACAGATGAATCAGCTGCAGACACTTTAAACGCTA